GGAGTGGGCCCGGCCCCCCCGGAGCTGCGTGAACCCGCGGGACACGCCCCAGCGTGATGGACACGGCACCTCTCACTGTGTTCGGCTCACCGACGCCTTAATCCCCGCCCCTCCTGCCAGCCAGCACCTGGTCCAAGCCTCTGGGTTTTTTGTGTTTTTTTTTTGTTTTTAAAAAAAGAAAAACGCCTCTTTGTTTCACGGGACAGATCGGAAACGACTTCCAGATATTTTCTCTGGCTCCGAGGGGAGGCACGCGGCCACGCTCTCTTGTTGTTTTTTCCAGGGAGGTTTCTGTCAAAGCCGCGGCTTGGCCAGTGTTGGGGTTTGGTTCCCGCCAGTTGCTTCGTGTCCCTAAACCTCATCTGGCCCCTGGGGCCCTGGATTCGACCTGCCTCCTTTTCCTTTTGCTGACTGTCTCGTTTTTTAAGAATAGATTTGTATTCATTTCAGGGAGAGGAAGGGAGAGGGAGAGAGAGAGAGAGAAACATCCATGAGGAGAGAGACTCATGCATCGGCTGCCTCCTGCACGCCCCACACTGGGCATCCAGCCCGCCCCCTGGGCCTGTGCCCTGACCGGGCATCGAACCCTGACCTCCTGGTTCACAGGTCCGACGGCCAACCGCTGAGCCACCCGGCCGGGCTGCTGACCGTCTTTATTGTGGCAAATACAGGTTCTTTCTGTGCCGTTTAAATGTCGTTGAATAGACAAGGGCAGAGACGTCTCCAGCAAAGTGGGAGGGAAGGGAGCCTGGGGTCCCGGCGGGGGCCAGCCCCCCTCCCCGGGCAGTGGCGGGACCCCAGCCCAGAAAGCGGGGTCCCTTAAGAACCGGGAGACGTGCAGGCATTGAGTTTGCGTTCCTCGGTGTTGGTGGCAGGATAGGAAGATCCGTGTCCTGGGACCACGCCCACGAGGTGACCTGTCTGTCCCGGGAGACGATGCATCTCCCACTTTCTCCTGGAGCCACGGAGCCCCTTCACGGTCTCCCGGGAAACCCCAGAGGGGTCCCAAGTCCTGTTGCTTTTCTCCACTTTGGGGAGTCAAGGAACCGGAGAGGGAGCAGCAGAGGCCCCGGCCCGAGGTCTGCATCCTGCCCGACCCTGGGGTCCTCCTCGGACCCGCATCCTCCTGGGCACAGGGGTCCCTGCCCGTCCTCCTGGGGATCTACGCCCGGTGCCTCCAATCAGGGGAATGAAGTTCTTACGCTCGCCACCTGTTTTCCCCCTGGGGATCGGGACGGAGCTTCTAAAACCAGGAGTTTCTGTGTATTATTATTATTTTTTTTAAATACATCCTTTTCAGCGGAGCCTGTATGTTTTGGGATTCACCACCCCCTGACACCCCCCTCCCCTACGCCCCGGATTCAGTTCAAGGATTCAGTGTCTTGCTCCGGGTGGACTGTCTCTTGCAAACTCTCTCCCGAGAAGCCAGACACGGGCCTGAATCCTTTCCCCTGCCCCCCGGGTCTGTCCCCCGCCCCCCGGGTCCGGATGCGCCGCCCACGTGGGGAATCTCGGGGTGGCGCGCCCCCAGGAGCAGGGTCGGAGCGGCCTCCTTTTCTTGGAGCCTCTCCCTCTTTGATACACGGTTTTCCAAGAGGAATGTTCTTACTGACTCCTTGTAACTGGGTTGTATTTTCTATTTTCTATTAATAGCCTTTAATAAAGCCATTTCAGAGAGTCCCAGCCTGTCTGCTTGGGCCCCTGCGGGGGCCAGGACGCCTGTGAGGACGAGTCTGCTGATCACAGAGGAGGAGAAACGGGTTCTTGCCAGTTACTAGTAAAAGCGTGAAATCTCTCTTTAAAAAAAAAAAAATACCATTTTGATTGATTTCAGAGAGGAAGGGAGAGAGCAGCATGAAACCCCTTCAGGAGGCGCCCTGTGCGCAGTCCTGACACGGTCCCTGGGGAGGCTGGTGGGAAGCGGTGTCGAGGGGCACGGGCCCCCCAGACGGGGTGGGCTCTGTCCTGGAGGGCTCAGGCTCAGGCTCAGGCTCTAGCCCCTGGTGAGGAGTGCAGGGACCCTAGCCCGCTGCTTGGACACAGGACCCGCACGGGCCAGGCCAGCGTGAAACCCCTTCAGGGGGCACCCTGTGCGCAGTCCTGACACGGTCCCCCCTGGAGGCTGGTGGGAAGTGGTGTCGAGGGGCACGGGCCCCCAGAGACGGGGTGAGCTCTGTCCTGGAGGGCTCAGGCTCAGGCTCAGGCTCCAGCCCCTGGTGAGGAGTGCGGGGACCCTAGCCCGCTGCTTGGACACAGGACCCGCACGTCAAGTGTTTGCTGCTGCCAGTCCCTCCTGTGAAAATGTCCAGGCCCCAGCGGAAAGCCTGTGTCACAGGGACAGTGCGGGCTGGGGAGGAGGCCCGTGCCAGCCTGGCCACACCCGGCCGGCCGTCGGCTTCCGGCCACCCCCACATTTCGTCTCCATCCACTGATTCATGCTAACATCTGGCCCCAGGGTGGCAATAGCATATATTTTTCTTCATAGTTCTTTTTTTCCTCTCTCTATATATTTTTAAATATGTTTTTATTGATTTTTTTTAGGGAGAGAGGAAGGGAGCCGGAGAGAGAGATAGAAAACATGGATGAGAGAGAGAATCATGGATCGGCTGCCTCCTGCACACCCCTTAGTAGGGATCGAGCCGGCAACCCGGGCATGTGCCCTGACTGGGAATTGAACCAGCAACCTCTTGTGCACAGGACGATGCTCAATCCACTGAGCCACACCGGCTGGGCTTTTCTTCATATTGCAGCCCGGTGCTGGGCCCTGGGATTGGTTGTGTGTGTTACAGACATTGTTGCTACCCTCACATTGTAGTGGAGGAGGTAGAATAAACATATGACCATGCAAACAATTTTATAGTTGAAAATTATTAAAAGTAAACAAGATGGCCCGGCCGGCGTGGCTCCGGGGTTGAGCGTTAACCCATGAACCAGAAGGTCACGGTTTGATTCCCAGTTAGGGCACATGCCTGGGTTGCGGCCTCGGTCCCCAGTGTGGGGCGTGCAGGAGGCAGCCGATCCATGATTCTCTCTCATCATGGATGTTTCTATCTCTCTCCCTCTCCTTTCCTCTCTGAAATCAATAAAAATATATTTTAAAAATAATATATATATTTTTAAAGTCAGGATTTCTGCTGCTCCCCACGATAGAGTAACTGGGCGGGGACTTACCCTCTTGTTATGAACGATAGAAAGTTGGAGGAAATACATCTGTGAAAGAGCGATGAGGTACAGACGTTGGACAACAGGCCGTGCAGGGCTGGGACCCCGAGAAGGGGACCAGGTGGGGGCCCCTGCCGATTGCCTGCCTTCGGCACCGCCAGGCTGTGCGGTGAGGCTTGCCGGGCGGAGAAGAATGTGTTTAGGGCGGAAAAGGTGGCTGGAATCTGTCGGAGGGAACCACGCAGCGGAGGTCCAGAAATAGGCACAGAATTCCCCGGAGGAGGTTGGAGGAGGAGGTTGGAGGCAGTTGCTGGGCTAGGGCACAGGGAGGGGGGCACCCAAACAAAGCCTGCAGCCTGGCTGGGGGAGGAGAGTGAATGTGGCCCGAGGGAGGCCAAAGGGCTCGCAGAGTTCCCGAGAGGAAGGTTCCAGAAACCTGCATAGGGGTCTTTGGCCAAAGACCCATCTGTCCATGTGTCTGTGTATCCAAATGGAAGGGCGGGCGATGCCCCAACCACTGAGCAACCCGGGCCAGGCCTGGCTGCAGGTTTCTCACGAGGATGGAGGTCTTGTCAAAATCCAGCCCCGAGCAATGCGGCCCTGAGGGTACGTGGGGTTGTTTCTTGGGGGGACCCAGGTGATAGGTGGCCCCGGGGGGCTGTGGCTCTGAGGGAGCTGGGATTGGGGGAGGAGGGGGTCTGCTGAGTCACACAGCTGCTTCTGCCCTGCACGCGGGAGCCAGCACGCTCTCCAACGTGCCCTGTTCTGCCGATAATTGGACACAGATGTTCCTCGTCTGCAGGCTCCGGCGCCTCCTCGGGCAGACGGCTGCCTCCCCCGCCCACCTCCATCCTCCCCCGGTGCTGGGTCTGAGCTGGGAGGGTGTGTGCCCCCCATGTTGGGGGGGACCCCAGGGCCCATTGTTCTCGGAGGAAGAAAGCGCCACCTGTGGTATTTCCCAGCCCCCAAGTCCCTCTAGCTTTTATTTGATTTTGTTATTTTTCATCCTCACCCGAGGATATTTTTCGCATGGATTTTTAGAGAGAGGGAAAGACAGAAATACCGATGTGAGAGAAGCATCGAGTCGTTGCCTCCTGCACGCCCCACACGGGGTATTGAGCAACCCTGACCGGGAATCGAACCCTGACCTCCTGGTTCCTAGGTCGACGCTCAACCGCTAAGCCTGTGGTCCGCAAACTGCGGCTCATGAGCCACATGCGGCTCTTTGGCCCCTTGAGTGTGGCTCTTCCTAAGCCTTAGGAGGACCCTAATTAAGTTAATAACAATGTACCTACCTATAGAGTTTCAGTTTAAAAAATGTGGCTCTCAGAAGAAATTTCAGTCGTCATACTGTTGATATTTGGCTCTGTTGACTAATGAGTTTGCGGACTACTGCCTAAGCCAGCCGTGGGCAAACTACGGCCCGCGGGCCTGATCCGGCCCCTTTGAAATGAATAAAACTAAAAAAAAAAAAAGACCGTACCCTTTTCTGTAATGATGTTTACTTTGAATTTATATTAGTTCACACAGACACTCCATCCATGCTTTTGTTCCGGCCCTCCGGTCCAGTTTAAGAACCCATTGTGGCCCTCGAGTCAAAAAGTTTGCCCACCCCTGGCTAAGCCAACGCCGGCCGGCCGGACTACTGACCATCCTTTTAGAACTTAATGGCCAACTGGGAGGGACAAGAGGCAATGCCAGCCCCACATGCATAAGCTGAGTTGTGCTGAGCTTAGAAGACGAAGGCGCCAAGCAGGTGGAGATGCTGAAAGGAGGGGGAGATGGCGTCTTTCCGAGAGGCCCGGGGGATGGTGCCATTCTCCTCTGAACCGGGAGGGAATCGGATGCATGACGGACTACCCCCGCTTGCTCCCACGGCCTCTCCCTCCACCCAACCAGACAGGAGGGTCGCAGTGAGAGCAGGAAGCCCAGAGCACAGGGCCAGGCAGCCAGGCAGGGCCAGGGCGACGGTGGAGGTCCCCCCCGCTGGCTGGCGGGCATCCCCGCCCGGTGTCCAGAACGCAGGCCTCCAGACTCTGAATCCAAGGCCATTTCTGCAAAGTGATCCCGCATTTGCTCCTTGTGGTTCGGTCGCCTAACTGGAGAGTGGTTCTTCCTCTTCTGACAGTGAGCAGACAGACTACAGTGATGAGAGAGCATCACCCCTAGGCCGCCTTCCACCCGAGGGGAGGAGCCATTCAGGTCAAGGGGAGTCTCTCTCCCCCTCCCCCTCCCGGCCTCCCTCTCTGTCTGCCTCCCTCCTCCCTCTTCCTTTCCCCCTTTTCTCCCCCAGCCCCGCCCCTTTCAGGGGGGGCAGGCTGGCGCTGGGAAAGTGCCCCCGGCGGGCAGGGCATCGTTAGCCGGCACCACCTGCTGCCAATTCACAGCTGCCGAGCCCACGAGGCCTTCACACTGGCACTTGGCGGGCGGCCCTGGCTCTGGGGATAATGGCGCTTTGTTCGCACAGAGGAGCCAGCGTGTGAACTGGGCTGGCACGGTGACCCCGGCAGCCCTGCCAGCCGGGCCACGAGCGCTGGTGCCCTGGAGCTCGGCACCAGACCCAGGTGCTTAGACCAAACCCCCACAGGCATCTGTTCAGGCCCAGGTGCGTGCAGACACACACACACACACACATCACTGAAGGTAAATCGACTGAATACAGGGGTCTGACTAAACCTCCACGTGGCCCGGCTGGTGTGGCTCAGTGGTTGAGCGTCGACCTATGAACCAGGAGGTCACGGTTGGATTCCCAGTCAGGGCACGTGCCCGGGATACGGGCTCCATCCCCAGTAGGGAGCGTGCGGGAGGCAGTTGATCCATGATTCTCTCTCATCATTGATGTTTCTCTCCTTCTTCCTCTCCCTTCCTCTGAAATCAATAAAATATATATATATTTTATTTAAGAGAGTTAGAAACATCGATAAGAGAGAAACATCGATCAGCTGCCTCCTGCACACCCCCTACTGGGGATGTGCCCGCAACCAAGGTACATGCCCTTGACCGGAATCGAACCTGGGACCCTTCAGTCCGCAGGCCGACGCTCTATCCACTGAGCCACACTGGCCGGGGCCTGCGCCTATATCTTATCACTGATTTCTCACGATTCCCAGTTGGGCGGGATTTCCTGCTCAGCATCAGGGGAGATGGAGCCAGGCTCCTCCCCACCGAGGCCATGAGGAAGGTCATGAGGTCCGGCCTGGTCTGGACCCCTGGGGAGAAGAGCTTTGCCTACAAGGACTGTCCGGACTGGACAAGGCCGTCGTAGTCGCCAGCTCTCGGAGGCAGCTGTAGGGCGTCTCCCATCGCTCCAGTCTCACCGGTGACCCTCAGAACCCCCTGCTGTCTGCCCAGTGAGGAAACACCCCGATGATGGAGACCACTTCTCATCCCAGGCCACACCCACATGTATCAAACCAGTGTTCTCTACAGGATATTTATCTTGTATACATTTTGATTGATGTCAGAGAGGAAGGGAGAGGGAGAGATAGAAGCATCCATGATGAGAGGGAATCATGGATCGGCTGCCTCCCACACGCCCCACACTGGGGATGAAGTCCGCAACCCGGGCATGTGCCCTGACGGGGAATCGAGCCGTGACCTCCTGGTTCCTAGGTCAACGCTCAACCACTGAGCCACGCCGGCCGGGCTCTACGGGATATCTGAACACCGTGATTGAAGCTACACTAAAGCCAGCGTTCTGCACACTGGGCCCTGAGAAATTCATCACAGGGGGAGGTGGGGGAAGGAGAGGAAGGGATGGGCGGAGACCCGGGCGTCAGGCACTGGTGGTGGCACCGCCATCCCAGGGAAGCGGTGTCACAGAGAAGCAGCATAGAATCGGACAGCACAGCGAGGCCACTTCAGTCTTCCCAGACCAGGCGGCGTGGGTTCCGTGGGGGCGGAGAGGGTGCGACAGCGACAGCGGGTGGGGAGCGAGTCCGATCCCAAATGGACCGGCTGCGCCACCTCGGGGAAGCCTCAGATGTTCATTGTCAAGTTGATGAACTGGGAAGAAAGAGAAGAGAGAGGGAGAGATGAGGGTTGGTGAACCCTCCACCTCCCCACACGCCTCAGGAGTGGCCTGTTGGCTCAGGCCCCCGAGCTCCGCCCTCTGGTCATCCTGCCTGCAGACACGGACGTCTGCCTCGACGGGCAACATGCAAGAACGTCGGTTTTGGGGGCTTTGCATGTCCCAGAGGCCCTGGTGCCTGTCTGAGTCAGCTCAGGTCCATGTGGATGGAGCCTTTGAGGTCCAGACGCTCAGCGGCTTTGAAGGGTATGACGGTGTTGCTGCCTCTAGTCACCCTGCATTTCTAACCGCCTCCCCTAGGTGGCGCCCACGCCGCTGGCTGAGGGACCACGCTGGGCAGCTGGGAGGGGACGATCCACACCTCCGGGCCTCTTCCAAGCCTCGGACCCCCTTCATGCCCCTCCCTCCGTCACTTGTGCTGTCATCAGCCCATGTCACTGGTAAAAGTCCATTTCTCAGGGTTTTTGAGGAGTTTGCACGCGTGCATACCTTCCTACGTGCGCACGTGTCCCCGCAGACACACACACACACACACACACACACACACACACACACACACACATACTCACACGCCAGGAATCACAAGACCCCTGGGATGACATGAGCAAGGGGGGCGTGAGCAAGTCGGAGCCTGGAAGGCAGGCTGAGGAGCCCACGCGGCCGAAGGAAGAGAAGGAGAAGGAGGCGGGGCTTGCTAGCTCGCTCTGTTCCGGGGGACGAATCTCTCTCTCTATGCCTCAGTTTCCACTTCTGCAAAATGGGTAGGCTATTCGTCCTAAGCTCGGAGGACTTGTAACAATCATATGGACTGCTAAGTGCACAGGACATAAACAGAGTGGCCATGTGCATTGCTGTTTTGCCCCAAAGCTACACGATTAACCCTCGCATGCCATCATGCAAACGTTTGTGGAGCGTGTGGACCGTGGGCCCGGCCCTGGCCGGGTCCCTGAGCGGGAGGTCTGGCTGGGCCTCACCTCGTTTATGTTGAGATGGATGAACTCCTTGTTCTTCGTGCTGAGAGCCTGGAACACGCCTGATGGGAGAGACGGGAGAAAGGCATCCTTGCGGGGACGGGTCCTTCAACAGGCTGAGCGCTCCGCCCCTACCCCCAAGCCTGCAGGGGAGCTGCTCCCCCTGGCGATGAGCACGAGTATTACACAGGCCTGACTGGGGCGGGGGGGGGCGCCCGCTGATGGGATTTCTTTCTCAAGGGGTTGGAGGACGCCTCCTGGATTCAGGTGACTCTGGCCTTGGCCCCGGGTGGAACGTGTTGTCATCGACAATATCCAGCCGGCTCCTGGGCCCCAAACATCTCCTGATTCTAGCTGTTTGGGGGCCAAGACCCCTGGCAACCCATGCCCCTCCCCCCAGGGTGAAAGCGCAGGCAGGTGGGGTTTTGCGTGAGTCTTGAAAGCCTGTGAGTCCCTTACGAGAGGGGAGCCCTGTGGGTGCTACGTCTCCCAAGCACCCAAGAGAGTGGCTGCTCTCGGCCTCTGTTTCCCTCTTAGTCCCAGAGGTCCAGCCAGTCGCCCCTGGCTGCCCCCGACAGCCACCTGGGACCTCGAGAAAGACAACAGAAGGCCCGGCCGGCCTGGCTCAGTGGCTGAGCGTTGACCTATGAACCAGGAGAGGTCCCGGTCTTGGCCCTACTGTTCGGCAGGTTGTCTGTCCCTGGTCCGGGAGGTGGCGGAGGGCGTGGCCTCTCGCGGGCCGAGGGGCGGGGGACATGGGGCACTCACGGCTGGCGTTCTCCAGCCGCACCAGGCAGTTGAGGAAGTCGTCGAAGCCCAGCTGCAGGTCCTGGTCCGCGTAGCGGAGCACCACCAGCTGCAGGAGGTGGCGGCTCAGCTGGAAGCCTGCGGGACGGGCAGCGAGACGGGGCTGAGTCCCGAGGGCTGGCAGCTGAGGGAGCTGCTGACGGGAGCTCCCAGACCCGGTCTGAATGCAGTGGGCAGTGTGTGTGTGTGTGTGTGTGTGTGTGCCTGTGTGTGTGTGTGTGTCTGTGTGTCTGTGTGTGTGTCTGTGTG